TAAAATTATAATAACAGTATTAGTTTAAAATGTGAAGTGCATAACCTCTGATCTACACATACATATAAACATACATAAACAATCTCAAGCAAAGTAAAGAATGACACCTGCGACTGCCACAGTTCACTCGGTTCCACAGCCTTGGTAATTGTGTATGTTCCCCTCCTATCCTACAACAGTCACTTATATCGAAGCAACAAGGAGACACCAAGCCATGCTTCCCGGCTGTCAGTCTCATGAAGCCTACCACCCAAAGCTTCAAACATACGCCTAACGAGCTTTTAATTGACAAGATCACCATGGAGATGGTGGAAGACACTGCTGCTCCACCACAAACATGTCTATAGATGTGGACAGGCCATTGGGATGTCAACTGGAGAAGGTCGAGAACAAGAATGAGAGAGTCGAGAAACGAGGTTGAATGCTGCATACCGGTTTGTGCCATAGGGCAATGTTGCGAGGGCATGTGCTGCTCCAGGACTCAACACCGTGTTGATGACCGTGCATGGGGTGCGATGGCTGTTGAGAAGGCAGCGGAGACCGGCCATCCGGGCGTCCGAGTGCGCGCGGGACTCGAGAAAGTCATGTCAATGTCTAGGATATAGATGGAGTAACAAAAGATGAGAAAATTTTAAATTCTAATAATTTAAATAAAATAATAAAAATATTTATTAATAAAAATTCTAACACTTTCAATTTAATTTTATATCAGAAATTAAAAAAAATGAATGAATAGATGAGTCTACTATTATTAATTTAAATTTAATTATTTTAAATTAGTAGTTGAAAATCAATAAAATTAATATATTAATTATTTTGTCAGACTAGATAGAACATTATATACATAGAGTAAACTCTTGAAAAAAAAAAAATTTTTTTGCTTTTGTCCGGATGTGTCCCGGTCCCACTTTTATATTTTTCAGAAGTTGCCCTCATTTACTATAATTCTTAAAATGGCCCCAGACAAGATAACTAGAGCTATATCTACTGGCCATATGAATCAAATTAAATGATGAACACGTCCAATTATTTAAATACAGCATGTTTTAATAGGCTTATTCAAAATCATTATAAATTTATTAAAAAAGAAGCTAATATAGAAGTCTTCTTATTTAGGTGTTTTTGTTTATATATATATATATATATATATATATATATATATATATATATATATATATATATATATATATATATATATAT